ATGTATATATAATTGATTTCAGAGAGGAAGGGAGACGGAGACAGATAGAAACATCAATGATGAGAGAGAATCGTGGATTGGCTGCCTCCTGCACACCCCCCACTGGGGATCGAGCTCACAACCTGGGCCTGTGCCCTGACCGGGAATCAAACTGTGACCTCCTGGTTCAGAGGTCGGGCCTCAATCGCTGAGCCACGCTGGCCGGGCGCTACACTTGAAGTTCATAAGTTTGAGAGTGTTCCCCGAAGAGAGGAGGACGCAGTGAGAATGGTGTGAGGTCTGGGGAGGGAGGAAGAAGACTTGATCAGCGTGTGCATTTCCCGGCGGGGCCAGGGCGAGGGGACAGAGAGAAAGAGGACAGACACCCCGGGGAGGGAGGAGACAGGGTGAGGACACAAACAGTGGGGTCCGGCTCGTTGGCGCCACCTCTTTTTGAAAGCAGAGAAGGAGAGAGACCGCTAGGCCCCTGGAGGGACATGTCGTGGTGACCTGGTCCTGGCTGGTGACCTGGCTGGTGGTGGGACAAGTCTCGGCTGTCCTGTGGGAACATCGGTGTGTCCAGGAGAGGAGGTATCTGCACCACAGGCCTGCCCAGCCCTGCGCCGCGTGCTCGCCTGCCGAGTGTTGAATGCAGTGGCTCCCAGCCTGTTAGGGCTACGCCCCACCTGAGCATCTCTAAAACCCTGATGCCCCCCCACCCCCCCACGTGACACAGACTTCTCAGTATTCAAAAAGTGAGCTCCTGTTCACGTGGAGGAAGCCTAGAAGGCCACGAACTTGGTCTAAACAAGCTTCCAAAGAACATGGCATCCACGAGAGAGAAAAACAAAAGAACGAAAGGACCGTTGAAGTATGAGGAAGAAATCCCTAAGAAAAGGTTAAAAAAAAATCATATGAAGTGATATGAAAAAAGAGCAACTAAAGTTTCAAAACATATAATAGAGAACCAAAATGCATAAATATGTCACCATACATATTTATATGCTGTATATGAGGCCCCTAGAACCATAAGAAATGCAAAAATTCACTGTGAATAACTCATTCTCGAATTGCCCCCCTTAAACATCACATTGCCCTGCAGAGGGGTGGGGGCGTGCGCCCCACGTGGGAACCACCGGTTTAATGCAGTGCTGCCCGAGGGCCTCCTCTGTGGCCGTGGGTGTTTGTGGGCGCGGCCGTGTTCTGTGCAGGTGGGGAGGGAGGATGGTAGTTCTCATGATTGAAGTGGCCTGAGAAGTGGGTGGAGAAAAGGTCACACAGTGGCCTTGTGGGCACGGAAGCCGATTCATTAGCCACGAAAGTCTGAGTTTTTTGCTCCCTTTGTAAAGAGCACTTACTACGTTCCTATCCAGGCCAGAGCGGTTGCAGTAAAATGCGGTAAAATGCGGTGGCTAAGAAAGCAACCCATTATCTCCCTGGGCCAGGATTTCGCAGATCAGGATTAAAATCAGAGCAGAGTCTAGCACACCTGGGGCCCCCAAGGAGCCCCCTAAACACGGAGCCTTGCAAGGATAACCAGAAATGTTGTTCGGGGCCACTTTTGTCCATGCTGTTCCATGCACCGAGTTGTAGGCGTGTGCCTGTGGGTGTGCACCTGTGCCTGTGACTAACAGTCTGCCCGCTGGGGTAGGTGACGAGGAAGGCAGCGCCCGAGGCTGGGACCTGCGGGAGTCAGAGGCTGCTGCCTGGACCCTGGTTTATGCAAACACCTGCTGCTTTGGCCCCTGGCACTCACAGTGGGTCTC